GTCCTGGACCCAACAGCAACTGGGTCAATGTTTTGTATTATTTGAGACAGCTTTGCCCTTTATCAAGATGATGATGTGTGCGCTCTGCCAATACTAGTGGAAGTGGACGGAATGGTTTTGGAAGAAAGCACCCCTTGTCAGCTTCCATGATTGTTGGAAGCAAGAGGGGTTGACATGTTGGGACAGTTTTCAATGACACATGATGGAGGGCGGTAGGTAGAAAAGACAACACCAATCCCAGTTGGGGTCTCCAACAAGTATGATTTACTCTAGGTTAGACAAAATGTGGAGCAAAATCTGGACATCTGGGGGTGCTTTGTTTCAGGGTGTCCTTGTTGGGGCCGTTCTAAATGGAAGCCAAAAGGACACCGAAGCCGAAGCCCACATGCCATGGCTTTACGCAACCCAGGCTACGGTGGCCCTCCTGGCCCCGGCGGTCGCTCTGGCAGCCCTGGCCCTGGTGGCAACTGTACAGGCACCGGGAACTTTGCCCCAGCGTCTTGGCATCGATGCAGACACCCACTTCAGTTGAGCCACAATCAAAACCGAATCGGGTAGACGCAGGTTAGTAAGGGATACTCCCATCCAATAACATTATTTACATGGTTCTGGGTAGACCTTTTCAAGACCGGGTTTTGATGATGACTCAGTTGTCCAAAGCGAATCGACCTCCTGACAGGGACAAAAAAGATGTCCACAGGAGGATTCCATGTCCCACAGGAGGATTCCATGTCCCACAGGAGGATTCCATGTCCCACAGGAGGATTCCATGTCCCACAGGTGGATCAGTTTCTGATTTTTGCACCGTCCCGGTGGATTCCATGTTTCCGTAAGGGCTCAGTTGCCCCTTGCCGGGAACTAAAAAGGTGAAAACCATTTGGGACCTTTGCTGGCGATGGGCCAAAAGCGGACCTGGTAGTTACTGGTAGCAACGGCTAAATTCTCTAGGTCCCCCAGTAGGGCCCTTTTACCCTTTTTTGGGGGAGGGTTCCCCTACTAAAACTGACCTCCGGAAAAAGTTGGTACCCTTATTCTAACCTCTCTACTGGAGGACCTAGTACCTAGTAACCCCAAAAAGAACTTGGATGCTCTGCTCGGCTGAGTGGTTGGTAAGTGTTTGGAAGTCCTTTGTAACCAGGGCTAAGAACCTTCCAAATTCGTTCGATTATTATTTGGTTCTTGTTTTATTTCCCCTGTTGGTATTAGAGCGAATCCATCACTCCTGGACGTATTGTCCCATCTTTTTAAGGGGGACTGTAGCGCAAATGGCCATGTAGCGATTCGTCGACTCTTCGAGTTTTGCTCCCTACCATTCCCAGTGTCTCACTCCCTAAGTTCCTGGACTTCACATAGTACACTTGGGAAGGCCATTTTACGTACCTAGACTCCATGACCCTTAAAGGATGGGGTCATTGCCCAAGATTAAGGGGGTCATGACCCCTTTTTCTAGGGGTCCGAAGGAGACTCTAGGTAAATCCAAAGTTGACTTTTTTTGGTCCAGTTCACTCAGGAAGTGAGGTGTAGCTTTTTGGGGCTCTGGCTTCTCTTCAGCCGAGACAAACTCCGGGTGTTCGCCGAGAAGTTTGGCTGATGGAGCAAAAGGGTTGCATACATCCAAATTGGGAACGGATGAACTGGGCTGTCAAAGGTAATCCGCAAGATCCTTGCCTCGAGTTACGCAAGGAACCGGTCCCCTTTGTAGTTGCTTCTCTATGGGGATTATGTATTAGAATTTGCCAACCCTCCTGTTTTGAACAGTTCAGATTAATACACCAGGAACCCGGAGCTTGTTTTCAACCCGCAAATGGGATGACAACCCCATTTGGGAGCGGATTTTTGTGCTACAATGGACGATGGGACTGGGTTTGGAAGAACTCCCACTTGCAGAGAACCCACACTGGTCACAGGCTCCAACACTTCAGCAAAAATGGGACCACAGGTGCCCCGCCGCTGCAAATCTGCATCATTGACCTCACCCGAGATTTAGAGTCATTGATTTGGGGTCCCTTATTTCAGGTCTCCCATGATGGGTGTGTCTGGTTTTTTAGGGGACCCCAAAATTGTAGTTTTTTCTTGTACCTGGACCCTCCAAACTCCCGTACAATTGAGTTATTGCCCCAGAATTATAGGGCGAAGTCCCTTTCTTTATGGGCAGTTTGAGTGTCCGGGTGCCCTCGAAAATTTCCCCAGGTTGTTTAGGGGAAGCCTTCCTAATTTTGACCGTGCCTACCCTCCGAAAAGGACCAAGCGGGTTGGTGTGGCTTTTGGGATGCTTATGTTGGGTTGGTTGAAAGGGAAGCCAAAACGGAACCAACCATTTTTGTCAGGTTCCCCCTATTTTGACAGCCACCCATTTAGTAATTTGCTTTCCTTTGGTTCCCCGCCAAGTTTCAGCCGCTCCCAGGGATGTGACGGGGTCTCGCACGCAGGTTGGTGGTCACGGTGGCCATTGTTGTCATAACCCTCTCGGGCGTGGTTGGTGGAGTTAAATACCCACCGGGTCCCCTGTGGATGGTTGCGAAATCCAGTTCGCACATGGAAACCTGTCAAGCCATTGTTGGCCTTTACAGGGGAATCACTATTTCAGGGTTTCTTAGTGCAGGATTTCGTCCATCCACAGTATGAACATACCTGGACTCTCCAAGACCCTCAAAACATGGGGGCATTGCCCAAAATTATGACCCCATTTTCTAGGGGTCATGGAGACTCTAGGTACATGCCCCAGTGGTTTCGCAAAAAGTAGCCGCCCTGGCCAAGGCAAACGTTCCGGCCAATTTCTCGGCTGGCAAGGGCGCGAACTTCTCGCCCCCCAACAGCCCCAAGCGGATGGCGACCTGGTTGACGTGGCAACCGGTTTGTCCTTTCCTTTGGGTCGCTCCTTTGTTTCGGGTGGTCGTTCCTTCTTTGGGTTAGGTTTCAGGAGAACGCTTTCCTTGTGGCTCTGTTTTTTTTTTGGGGGGGGGAGGGGCCTGGCTTTGTTTTGGCTCGGCCTGGGATTTTTGGGATCATCCCAAGATGGAATTCTCAAGAATGAAGAGCAAGGGCCTCGGGTTCCAAGTTTTGGTTCCCTTACTGCTACATAGAACCTGACCGGAAGTTTTTCTGGAAGACCCTGGCTCCCCTGTTTCGCTCACTTCCTGAGTTGCTGGACTTCGGGATGAGCATGTTAGTGGCAGATAATAAACGTTTGGTGGCATTATTTTAGCTCATCCACTCGATCGGAGGTGAGTTCAAGGACCGTCTGGTGGGCTCTTTCTTAGTGATTGTTGTTGGGAATCATTTTTGTTTTTTGCTTGTTGTGGTTTAGTGGTTGAAATCTAACCACTTAACAGCTAAAACAATATGTTTTTGCTCCCTTTCCAACGCCAACCTTTTTGGTTGGGAAGGTTCCCCTACTAAAATAGACTACAGAAAGAAGAAACAAAATCGGGTACCCTTATTCCATCCTCTCTACCGGAGGACCTAGTCTTAGTGGGAGAGGAACTCGAACAAACTCCCCTCCGACGTGAGGCGACGCCGGGGCAGATGCCCATGGGACTCTTGGACTCAGTCGGCATGCCGCCTTTTTCCGGCATGAGGCTTGTTCCGGTGTTTTTTTTTTGGGGGGGGGGAAGTAGCGTTTTGGTGGTTGTGCTTTTACAGGAAAATACGGGGAAAAACAAATACTTCTAGGGGTACCTTCCATTTCCATTCTTTCCAGGGATCCGAATCTTTCTAGAAAACCTCCTTTGAAACCCAGGTTGAAAACGGATCCGGTTTTTGGAAAGAACGATGGTTGAAACGAATGGACAAGGAATCAACCCCTAGAATGATGTGTTCTCTCACCCAGAGGCTCCTGGGGCTTTCAATGGAAGACCCGACCCCTCCATTAGACACCCCGCTTCGGTGTTGGGGACCCGGTCTCAAAACCTGGCTGTTTGAGGGCCCCTTGGATACATCGAATTGGAGCCTCTGGGCAGTTGCTTTTTTGGCCGTCAGCTCACAGGGCCGTGGAAGGAAACTTCAGGGTCCAGCGGTCCAGCCCCCCCCCCAAAAAAAAGCAAGAGGATGCTTCAGAAGAACAAGCTCAGACACATAAAAGAGCAAAAGAGTGAGACAAACGGAATCATCCACCCCGTTCAGGTACATTTAAGGGTAAATTTGCAAAGTTGGGATTCCTTATGATTTCCTACCTGTTTGCTCTTGTGACACACCTCTTGTTTTGTTTTGTTTGCCCCGTTCGACTTCTGACTGGCAAGGACCCATGCAGCCGTCGGGCGGCATGCAGCCATCGGGGGCTGGCCCCATGCAGACACCGCCGAGGGGCCGATCTCCGCCAAGGGGATGCCAGACACCGCCCATGCCCCTCATCGAAGACTCCGGCACGGGTGGGGGAGGGGGATGTTCCACTCACTTACTTGGCTATCCAACTAAGGTGAGGTAAGTAGGTTATAACTGTGGAACAAGCTTGGATAGCTGCGGTTGGGCCCCTTACCATGCTGAAAAAAGACTACTTACCTCATGTTGGTTGAACATCCAAGTAGCCTTCCGACAGGAGTGGAGAGCCTGCGCGCTTCCATGTTGAACCTAAGAGCCCCTCTGTGGATGGTGATGCGAAGTTCAGAAACATCGCAGAACCGAAATCAGAAATCGCACGGAGTTGAAACCGCAACGTGTTTTTGTTTCTCCCGTTGGGGGAATTGAATCAGAAAAATCCAAGGCTTCTGATTTCGGTGGTGCGATTTTTGGATGTCGCAATCATCGACAGTAGCATGAGCCTTTCGGTCGCTTGACATACTGTGGCTTTAGCTTGCCTGGGTTAAACATCCAAGGCTGTTTGTGTCTGAATGTTCAAGCATTCCTTAGCCTGACATATGCTTAGAACCAGCAGGTGGCACCGTGTGCGTAATCTCTCAGTGTCTCACGAAGCTCCATACCGCGAATCGAACTGAACTAACCTTTTAGTTTCTCCTTGGTCCACTTTTAGTGGCCCCAAAAGCTTATGATTTCTGAGTAAATAGGAAACGCAGTGGTACGGCGAGGTTTCCGATCGAGCGTAGATTTGTTGCAGTTCGTGCGGAGTTTTGTTTTTCACTGCAAGACCTTTTTCATAGTTTGGTTGAAAAAAAATGGGGAGCTGTCTAATTCTGAGTGTAGAAACCCTGGAGGGGGTCCACCTTGACCTTCTTGAGGGAATCGAGGGTGCCAGGGGTTTGACCAGGAATTGGACTGCAGGGTTTTAGTCCTTTCCATTCATCAGGCTTCCATTTTGGGGTTGCCCAATTTTTGAAAAGCACACCCATGGAATCAACTGAAACATGTTTTCAGGTCTTTGCACGAGCGGTTGGGTTCCGCATTGGGATTGGGGATACCATCCTTGGCCCAACTCGTCTGGGTATGTTTTGCAAATGGTCTATGTTCTGACCTCAGGGTGGATCCCAGGTAAGCCACTATACCACACCAGAGCCACATATTCCAGGAACCAGCAATTCAAACACCTTGGGTTTCAAAAGCTGGTACCCTTGATCGCCCACACATCTAGAACTGGAATTGCTCGGTTCTTCCAAGCCAAGCTTTTGACCTTTTGGTTCCCCATGTTGGGTTCAACCATATTTCCTCATGGTGCCAAAAGGAGATCCTTCCATTTGCTGAAATGAATATTCTTTATTTTCCCCTGTTGGTTTTCAAGGGAATCGATTTCACTACCTAGACTCTCCGCGACCCTTTAAAAATGGGGTCATTACCCAAAAGAAAGGGGTCATGACCCCATTACCCAAAAGAAAGGGGTCATGACCCCATTTTTGAAGGGTCATGGAGAGTCTAGGTACTGGAAGTATATGTTTTTTGTTTTTTCCCCAGGGGTCGAACAGCCAAATCAGCTTTTGTATTTCCTGCGGAAGCTCCTCCGTTTGCCCCGGGCGGCTTTTAAACCGCCCGCGGCCCAACACGGCGCCCGGCCGGGAACCGAAACCGAAGCCTCAGGGACCCGGCCGCCTATCAGATGCAGGTCTATAGGCAGCGATCCGATCCGATTCGCTGGCATCCACTTGGGAAGTGGCGAACGTCATGTCGCACCGAAGAAATCCCCGAACAAAAAGTGCAATCAAACAGTGGTTTGAACCTAAGAATCAAAGGTTTGGTTAAACCAAGACAATGGTTAAAGTCCATTTCGCACCTAAGAATCAAACAATGGTTTGAACCTCCCAAAGTTTGGGAATCTCGAGCCGCGGAGCTTGGGGTAGCTTAGGCGCTCAGGGAAACCTCGACTCTCCGAAGCTGAGCCCTCGAAAAATTTTCGGTCACCCGAAGGTTTCGAATTGGGTCATGATCCCATTTTGAAAGGGCCATGGAGAGTCTACTCACAAACGCATAGGTGCGCAGATCTTCTGGTTTTGAGGTAGACCACTTTGTTGCCAGGCTTTGACTCTGCCTCACAGGCCTTGCGTAGGAACACTGCATGCGCGGAGGCAATTTCTGACACTAGGCTGGGTAGGTTTTGGCGTAGGCGGCGCATACGCTCGACTTGACAGATTGCCCTTTGAGAGAAGCGGTGAACCAACCAGGGTAGTCCTGATTTTCTTTTCCCTAGCGCCTGCTTTCGATTCCCCGCAAATACCTGGCCCGGGCAGTCGGCAGCCTTTGGGAAGGTTCCAAAAGGTTAACCTTATATTTCCAAGTCCTTGGAAAATTGGGGTTGGTTAAAAGGGAGACTCAACAAAGAGGAGCCACACCTCTCTTTTCCCAAGGGAACAGCGCACACCGGGGGTTTGCTTTTCACGAACAGTACCTCGCAGGCCGAACCCGAACATGGCGGCGATGGGTCCCATGGCACCGAACATGGCACCGAACATGCCCCCAGGAGCGCGGGAGTTGCGCGGGGTGGGGGGGTGGGGGGGGTGAAGGCTTCCTAGAATTGCTTTGCTGGTGGGTTTTAAACATATGTGTGGGTGCATGTTTGTTGATGGTACCCTTTTTTGGTTGGCTTTGAAGGGGAACCAAAAGAAAACCATCAATTGTTTAACGGAAATATAGGGATGCCGAGCAAGTCGTGCATTGGGAAGCTTGGCAGATGGCGGCTGGACTGGGTATGTCTTTGTTTGGTCTTGCTGTGGACAAAAATCCATTTCGCACCACTTTGAAACCGTGGTTGAAACCATTGTTTGTTGATATTTACACGGGAATCAAATCATTGCCAGGGTGTCTGGATGGTAGTGTGAAATGGATTTCGTCCCTCAACAGTACGCCCAGAGGGAAAGCAGGGCCCCCTTTGTTTGGCTCCCCTGGTGGTCCGAAATTTGGACATCGAACAGTAGCTGTCCGCCTTGAGGTTCACCAAGTGAGTCACTGGGTGCTAAATTGCCCATCATGTTCCCAGACCCCAAGTGGTGCCCTTGTTCTTGGTTTCGGGGAGGTTTTCGTCTTTGACGTGCAGCATTGCACGATTTTGATACGTGTTGATGCTTAAATAATGGGGGACCCTTCGACGAACACAAATATGTGTCCACCCATGTAGAGGATTTTTATGGAATCCTCCGTGAACAGAAGCCAGCGAGCTTGTCGAGTTCTGCCGGATTCCAACATTAGTGAGAAGGCATGTGTGTGTGTCGATTGTTTTTTTTCGAGCTCACCTCAGGGTATAACGAGCTCACCATGATGAAGGTTCTTCATTTGGGGATCCCTGAATTCGGCTTTTGGAATAGTAGAATTTGCAGATGTGTGTGTGTGTGAGCTTGTGAGATGATGTACGTACTTGCATCTAGCGACATGTCATGTGAGTGTGTTCAAAGCCTTTTTGCAGGGCCAACTTGTGCATTGCAGAAGTGTCCAATGGCATTTGGGCTGTTGTTTACCCTCCCCAGAAGTAATGTTGATCCCAGACTAAGCCGAGAATGATTTGGATATGGGTGAAAATTAAACCGCCAGGGGAACGCAGGTTGTAGTCTATAGTCTATGTGTCCATTTGCCAGCGTTGCATTCTGGGTACCATTTTTTGCCATTCGGACCCCATCTGATGGGTTACAGCCCCTCACGAATTTTCTGACTGGGTTGCCACTGCGGGGGTTGGCTGAGGCGCGGGTGGCCCGATTTTCCCTTCCTTGTCCATTGGATGACCACCATTATGTGGCTGTAGGTCAAAACCCTGTACCCCCAGTGAACATCGAAATAGGTGGTACATGCATGGGTGTTCATCCGCCCCAAAATGGAGGCATAGGTTATGACCCATGGCCATGTGTTTGGTTCCCCGACAAAAATAAAGTCCAAAAGTGCGGAACTGTTTCCCTTCCACTCGCTCCCTGAGTTCCTGTACTTCGAAGCTCTGCTTCTGGTGGGTAAATGGGACACCCACTGAAAGAGGGCGAACAGGAGGTACCAGAATGCCTCTTACCCTACCAAGCTCTTCCCTGAGTTCCGTTTCGGACTTCCAACTTTTTCGGACACCTGTTCACCCGAAGGGTCATGACTCATGACCCCTCCAATAACAAAACACCCCCGGACCCTCCAATGGAGAACCCCGAGCAATTCCTCAGGAGCCCTTGCAGTTTTGAGGGCCGAAAAACAATCGAGACCCTTGGGGCAGTGGAAAACAGAAGGCTCAGACTGTTTGTTTTTTGCCATACTCGGGAAGAGAGTTTACCTGCCACTTGGGGCTGACTTTGATGGAAGGGTGCCAGGATTCTAGGATTTGATTCTCCATTCTGTTCAACCACAAATTATGTTCAAAACAACCAGCTATTTATTTCCCGCTTTTTTTTCGGGGGACAAAAAAACAGATCCTTGGAAAGAATGGTTGGAAGCTTGCCCATTTGAAGGCTGAGTCGTCCGGGATTCGCAGGAGCAACGATGCCCAACACCGTGCTGGCGCCACCGTGGCCACCTCAGCCGGTCAGAAGACGGACCTAGAGTTCTAGGGGCTTGCGCAAAGAGACTGGGGCTCCAAACATGGGGGGTTTTCTTCCATTTGCTTAAGAATATTGTTTATTTTCCCCTGATGATTTTAAGGGGAATCTATCACTACTGGAAATATGTTTATTTTTTCCAGGGGACTTAAGCAAATGGAGGTTTTGATTCCCTCCAAACTATCGTGGAAACGTTTGGGTTCCCGAGCCATGTCCCGTTAAAGGGAACCTCCAAACGTGGGAAACCCACCGTTATAAAAGCTGGTTGAAAGGGAGATTCGAGGGAGCCATGGCAGCCGTTTTCTTGCTGCTCGATAGGGAATGACAACTTGGGGATTCCCGCATAGGGGATGGTGTATACCTAGACTCTCCATGACCCTAGTTTTTTTTTTTTTTTGTTTTTTTTTTTTTCTCGGGTCATGGAGAGTGTCGAGTGGGGGTCATTCCGACACATTCCCTGCCTATCGCACCAGCAAGTTTTGGAGCCTCCCAACGTCAATTGATCAACTTTTGGCTCGGGGAAATCAGGGACCCCCTGCAGCCCCACCCCCTCAACCACAAAGTTCCCCAGCGCAAGTTGTTCTTTCACCCCAAGATTAGTCCTTCTGAACCTTTCTTGCGCGGGCCCTTTTTGTTGATCGCCCCTCGAGTTCCGCAAATGGGTGTGGTTCAAAATTAGGCATCCCGGGCAAACCGCAGGTTTTAGTGTTGTTTCATGTTGTTTGGGTACCTGGACCCTCCAACATGTCCTTGCACGTCGGGTTATTGCCCCAAAATGATGGCGTGAATTCCCTTTTATGGGTAGTTCCTGTTCTTTTTGAGCCACAGCCAGATGAGGTCGAAAAAAACTTTGGCTTGCGAGACTTGAATCCTAGGCTGGGGATTCATCTTTGTGAATTGCTCCCCCAAAAAGAAATCAGAGGGAACCTAACAACCCTAAGGGTCATGACCCCTCCAATAAAAAAAGCACCGGGACCCGGAGCCTCCAATGGAGACCCTTAGGGTAAGAGAGGAACTGGATTCCGTGTTCGTTTTTGAGGCGGTATATATGAATCTGCCGGGTATCATAGTAACTTGGCCAAATTGCGTGTCAACATGCAAGCGGGCTTCCGCTTTTGCAAAGTCAACTGCCCTGAGTGTCTAATCGCAGCCAAAAGCGAAACCTGGACTCACTCCCTGAGTTTCTGGATATGGTGGGAAGACCATAGTGGCAAATCAAAAGGAGAGGGACTTGTTTTTGTTTGGCCAATCCAAGTGAGTGGGTCCCCGCTTATGGCCCTTACGTTGAGAGCAACCCGCGTCTGTGGCCTTCCCGAGATCTCCGTAGGGGTTGGTGGGTTGCCCGTCGGAGCCTTTTTGGGGTTGGCCATTGGGGGGTCCCCCCAAAAGAAGCCACACCCGTATGGGCCCTCACGGTCTCGCCAGAAGCCGAGCTGTGGTGGTTACGTTTGAGAAGCAGGTGGTGGTCATCACTGCAGGGCAAGACGGCTGGCTTTTTGAAGGATGAGATCATCAAGCTTACTCATCCACGTGCGTCAAGTGTCAATGCCAACTGAATCCACATTAAGAAAGACAGGGTCGAAATCTACAACCTTGGTGTCGACCAGCTGGGGCTGAAGAGGCTGCACACGATGAATTCGAAGGACAATGACGTGCTCACCTTCACGGATAATGAGTGTATGAGCATGTTAGAAAAAACAAGGAGTTGACGCTTGGGATTCTCTTGCCCCAAAGAATGCCAGGTTGCACTGTTTACTTTTTGGACTTGAAACAGGCAAATGGGTGCATGTGATTTTTTTGCAGGGTAAACCCTTTTTGTGGAAACCAAAAAGCCACAACCTTAAGCAAGACGCACCCATATGCTGCATTTTCCCGTGGTGTCCAAGGGAATCTACTGTGGATGGACGAAATCCTTGTACCACGCAACAAAAACCCTGGCCTGATGATTCCCCTACAAATACCCACAAATCATGATCTCCCCTGGTTTCAAAGTGGTGCACGATTTTGCAACCATCCACAGTATCACGACTGCAAATCCGAGGAGGCGCCTAAGTACACCGAACCCATTTTTTAGGGGGTCCAACCTTATGCTTCATTTCCCCTGGTTTCCAAGGGAATTGATCACTACTTTGGTGCATGTTGCTTGGATGCTAGGACTTCAACTTTTTGACAACTAATGGGTTTTCCGCATGAAGCCACCAAAAGTTAGTCACTTTGAGCAGGGTTTCGCAGCTTTCGCAACCGAGACTACTGGAAAACAGAGGAGGCGCCCAACTCAGTTGCCCAAAGCCGACCTTTTGACCTTTTGGTTGTCTCATTTAGTCATGGCCCCAAAGGGTTAGCCTTTTATTTCCAGGTCCTTTGGGCAAGTGAGGATTTCGCCACCGAGACTACTGGAAAACAGAGGAGGCGCCACCGCGTCTCCCACGACTCGGCCCACACGCAGCCCGCGAGCCGAGCCGAGAGGCAAAACCCCATGGAGCTCCTGTGGCGCATGCAGCAAGCCCAGGGCATGCAGCTTGGCCCACGAATTTTTGCGCAACGCGACGTTTGGGTTCGGTTTCAGACCAAGTGGTCAAATTTGGGCACGTCCTTTGGTTTTGAGGGATAAACGTTCATTTGGGTATGTATTTTTGTTTGAGGGAAAGCACGTGTTTCTTCAATTTTGGGTATGTCTTTGTTTAGGTGTCCTTTTTAGGTTCGCGTGGCTAAACATAGAAGGGCTCCACTGGTTTAGATGGGCTTTATTCCATTTACCAGGGAAACTCATCTATTTTCTCAAAAGGACACCTATGTTTGAGGGTTCCTGCAGAGACATGTGTTTCTTCATTTGGGTACGTCTTTTTTTGGGGGAAATACGTGTTTCTTCAATTTTGGGTATGTCTTTTTGTTTGAGGCAAACGCATGGTGTTTCTTCATTTGGGAGTATGTTTTTGTTTTTTTTGAGGGAAACACATTGTGTTTCTTCAATTTTGGGTATGTCTTTGTTTGAGGGAAACACATGGTGTTTCTTCCTTTAAAAGTATGGTGTTTCTTCGATTTGGTTTTTTGAAGGCGCCCTTGTTCCTCTTGTTTTGTATTTTGTTGTTTTCTTTGCAACACCAAAAGGCAAGCGGAATACCTTTTTGGGGTTTGCTGAAGAGTTGCTGTTGATTCCCCCCGAAACAGACCCCAACTAGGGGGAACAGCCCAGACGTCCGGTGTTTTGATTTCCCTTCTTGGGAAGGAGGTTTCAAATCGACCAGCCAAAAAGGGTGCGCCTACCCACTGGAGGCCTTCGATGATATGTTCCCTCATACAAATCGAAATCTTTACTCAGCATGGACCATGGGAAACCAACTGAACAAGTGCGGTGAGAAAGGCTTCCAATTCTTTGGTCGAAGCAATGTTCCCTTTATTTCCCTTCTATCATCCACAGATGATTGTGGGGCCACTTCCTGCAGATTTTCCTGTAACCAAACCGTTTGATAGTAGGATTCGGATAGGCTGAGTATGCTCCATATGCCCACCTCCCGTCACCTTTTCTCCGGTCTTCGATGCACTTCGGCCGCAACATTTCTCTCGAGGAACCTTCTTGAGCTGAATACATCCTACGTCCAGAGGGAAAACAGGGCACCCTTTGTTTAGTACTTCATGTCTTTTAAAGCCTCCGACATTAAAAGCAAAGTGAAAGAAAAAGCAACAGGCACTTCTGGTGGTCCGAAATTTGGACATTGACAAGTTTCTGTCCGCCAAGAGGTTCACCAAGTGAGTTGCTGGGTGCTAAATTGCCCATAATTGTCCAGACCGCCAGAAATGCCCTTTTTTCTCGGCATTGGGGAGGTTTTTTTTGTTTCTCCAAAGTACGTGAACTACCAACCAAGTCGCTTTTCTTCCCATGGCCACTGGAGGTCTTGGTTGATCATTATCTCAAGGGAAACCCAAAGGGGATGGGTAAGTTGTGGATTTGTTCCAGGCCCTGCAATTTGCACCAGCGCGTTGCCAACAGAGCGGATCTCTTAGAATCGCAAGTAACAGCTTCCACACCGCGAGCCGGAGGAGGTGTGTCACTCAGCTTTGGACTTGCTTGTCCTACTTCCATTTGCTGAAATGAATATTGTTGTGTCATTGTCCCCTCTTGGTTTTAAAGTTGGAATCGATTTCACTACCAGATTATTTTTATTTCTTTTCTTTTTTTTTCAGGGGTCGGTCTTAACCAATTGGAAGCCTAGTTACGTGGGCTTCCCAGCTTGAACATGAACCAAATGACCCCGCCGAAGGGCATCCCTGGCTCCATGCGAAACCCATTGGGCTGCCTGTTGGCCCGATCAGCTGTTTCTGCCTGGACTCTCCTTCTGACCCTTTGAAAATGAAAAATGGTTGCCCATTTGACCCAAATCGATCTTTTGGGTAGTGACTCAACCATTTTTAAAGGGTCAAAAGGAGAGTCTAGGTGGAAAGTGCCGGTAGGGGAAGGGGCAGGTCCGAAGAGTTGTTTCAGCCTTATTTCGGGCTTCCACATGATCAATAAAAGGCGTGCCCTCATGAAACCGCAGGTTCTACCCAACAGAAAAGGCTTGTTCGATGTTTGCTCAGATGGGGAGCTTTTAGGACGGAGTTAAGGAATGGCCCGGCTTTGAAAACAACAGCATTGTTTGGGGGGACTTTCCCACATTCGAAAGTAGCAATCGAGTGCTTCCTTACAAGTTGGTAGAAGCGCGTTGCAGCTTCCCCTTGGAAGCACTTTTGGGGCCAAAGCGTTGTGATGAATTCAATGATGTGGTTTCGATGCTGCTTCATAATAGCAATATGCCATGTTTAGACGGATCAGACTCAACTTGCTTGCTGACTTAGCCAGCTGAAGAGACGCGACAAACGGGGGGTGGGGTGGTATCGCAGAAGCGGAGCGAAAGCAAACCTGCTCCGCTTGCCGGAGCTTTGGGAAATTTGAGTTTTGCGCGGCAGACAGACGCACTGGCACGCCTGCAAGGAATTGACAGCGCATAAAGGAAGAACCTAGCAACATCTTCTTCCATTTGTTTAAGGCTATTTGTTATTTTCCCCTGTTGGTTTTAAAGTTGAAATCTATCACGTGAAAGATGTTCTTTCTTTATCTTTTCGTTTTGGGGGCCAAAACGCAAAACGCAAATGGAAGTCTTTTAGCCAGGGCGTCGAAACCCTTTGGCCACTGAGGCGTTTGGATGATCTCCAGGGTGATATGGCGTGCCTCGACCAAAAGGATCCCAAGCCGAGTGTGCGGGCTGAAACCTTTCTCCCCACGGCACCTGCGGTCCGCGGGTGTCTTTGCAGTTGATAGACAATGATGCTGGTGTTGAGGGGGTCCCCCAGTAGTGCCATTTTACCCTTTTATTGGGGAGGGTTACCCTACTAACATAGAGAAACAGTTGGTACCCTTATTCGAACCTCTCTACTGGAGGACCTAGTCCTGGAGAAACATGTTTCTGGGAATGGTTCTGAACAAATCTTGGATTGCTCTATGGGATCCGTCCACTCCACTCGTTCGGGATGCGAAACGTTTCAGGTGAAAGCTCAGGAACTTTGGAGGAATGACATTTGTCTCATGGGTTCTGATCTCAGGGCATCAATTCCAGGGTTTCGGGAAGCCCGAAAAATCCATAATATTCCCGCAGACGAAACACCTGGGATGGTTGAGTTTGGAGCCGGTCCAACTCATTCCCCGACCGGCATGTTTAGGAGAAGTCCTGCTTTTGGATTGAGAATAAAGTTTGCGTGCGTCAAACAAGGCAAACCCGGTGGAGACATCGTGAGCTTTGTGCCCGCCATGATTTCTATCGAGAATGGAATGAGCGATGACTGGGCGCTTGCGGGGTATGGCTGGACTTGAGATTCCTTACTTAGACTTGGATGGTTCGGGACGTAGCCAAGTGGCCAGTAACTATAGTTATAGCCCACTTAATGTCGGGACCCGACAGACAAGGTGTTTTACAATCTATTCGTCATCCCGCATCAATGCAGTCGCCCTAACACACTCCTCCGATGAGCGCTAACCGTCCCCACCCCGCCCCCCCGCCCCCCCAGAAATCCAACACATTAAACCGAAAAACAAATGTAAATCACAAATTTGCTATGTCGACTACTTTTCCAACTTTCTTTTATGGATTGCCACAACAGATCTAAAACATTGTCCTAAAAACAAGTCAGGGTTTGACAAGCTCACAAAGGGTGCCTCCCTTGAAGGCCAGTCCGCCCTAAATAGCAAAAGGTACTGAGTAGTTACTGTATGGCCCTCTCCAGCCATTTCCTTTGGGAGGGAGCCAGAGATCGAGGTGGGTGTGGGTCAAAAATAGGTACCCAAAACGGAACCCTGGAAAAGGAAAACAAGGACTAAAACCTGCGGTCCCCTGGTGGTAAAAATTTGTCCCATACCCAGGTGTTCTCTTTCCCATATCCAAGCCCCCCCCCTCCCCCTGACTCCCCTCCCCTAACCCGTCTCTTTGCGGTGGCTGTGGGGATCCCTTTCTGACCGACGAACATCGGTTGATCCGTCTGTCTATTTTATGGCGAGCTCCCGATGTATTTAGGGCCCTCAAACAGCCAGGTTTTGAGACCCCCAAGCACCTGCGAGGGTGTCTAATGGAGGGGTTGGGTCTTCCATTGAAAGCCCCAGGAGCCTCTGGGTAGTAAAGATCCTTTACTCGGGGATCCCTCAAATCAGGTTTTGGAATTGTAGTGAATTTTGCAGATCCGTTCGTCTTGAAAAGCGAGCTGAACCAACATGGGTGTGGTCAAACAAAGCACCAGAAAAACGCAGGTGTTAGTCATTGTTTCCATTTACCAGGGATCCATTTTGGATGCCAATTTTTGACCCACGCCCGCATAACCTCTGCACCATTTTTTTCATGGGCCTGCGTGCTGGTGGCTCCCTTGGTTCAAAAGGTCGCGGAAAAGGACGACACAAGTTTCCTTTTTATCAAAACATTTGGTCACTCAGTCACCATCCAACGGTCACCATCCAACCACCATCCAGCATCCAACGGTTTTTTCAACCACCATCCAACGGTCACTCAGTAAAAAACATAATAAGAGCCGCCCAGACTTGATTCTCATCGTTGCGGTGGGATCTAAACGTTGTGGTGCTGGTCCTTGTCTTGGAACACCCCAAAACATACCCTCAAAATTAGGTGGTGTCCAAGAAATGATGTTCAGCAGACCTGATGTTGAAAAGAAAACCTGCCCTGCCTCAAAACTAGCTCAAGAGAACAAGCCGGATCTTGTTTCTTCAACAAACCAGGTCAAACACACAAACACACACCAAAAAAAACCTGGGGAGAAAAAAAAATCAGGAAAAAAAACAATTACACGCCACTGCCAACGAAACAAGGCAGAAGAAAAGAACAAACACGCCGGCCCATGGCTCGTTTTTTTTTTCCCCCCTCCGTTTTTTTTTCCAGCAACTCCAGCGGCTTAGGGACATCAAGAAGATGCTGTCCATGTTGATGGAGAAGCCTTGGGGCCCAGTTCGTTGAAACCGGGGAAGGTGACGTCGTTGGTTTTGCAGTTTTGTGTGTGCTCTAAGGGTATCGTTTCTCAACCCCCCCCCTTTCAAACAATATGAAGGGTCGATGGTTGGTTTTGTGTCCCTAACTGGGTGTTTTCAAGGGGTTTCTGGAGGGCCCGGGGGTGTGCATTGGAGGAATCATATCATAACCCTTAGGATGTGTGTGCTTTTGTTTGATGGAAGCTTTGTTCGGATGGGTTTAAAGGGAAATCGAGAGGAACACCCACCATTTGTTGGGGTCTCTAGTTTTAAATGTGGAGAGACCCATAGCTGGCTGGTTTTGGGGGACGGATCGATAAGCGGGAATTGGTGATCTATGAGTCTGCTCCTGAAAAGTTGTTTCTTTCCAGGGGAGTTAAGCATATGGATGTCTATTTTGCCACAACGACCAAACAAGCACACGGACGGTTCCATGCTTGCAAATCCAGAGGCTCAGACTTCCAGTCAATTTGTAGCTCACCAAGGAGTCTAACCTCAATTTGCAGATCCACCGATCCATCTCTCTCCCTCTCTCTCAGATCCGGGGTGTTGTAACCCAGCCAAGCCATGGTTGTAAGCCCTCGGTGGGTAGTATTTTTACATCATACTTGGTCATGGTCATACATGCTCATAAGACACACACTGTTTGTATTTGTCTAGCCCCTTACAGTATTCTCCTTTGGTGTGGGGTGTGTTTTCATGGAAACCAAATGGAAGCCATCCCGTTTTGGCCCTCGTTTTTTTGGGGATCTGGACACTGGACATAGAACCAAAGGATGGTTACCCTTTTCTCCAACAGTCATGTTTTGACTTGGCACCCCTTTTTTGGGTGGTTTTATAGAGAAACCAAAAGGAACATCAACAAAGTCATGTGGGGGTGTTTGTTTTGACTTGGTACCCCTTGTGTGAGTTGGTTTTAAAGAGAAACCAAAAGGACAATCACCAACTTTGGGTGCCCTAGAAAAGACACACCCATGCTGGACGTTTGGGACCGGTTCAAGATCGTCTTTCAACCCCTCCAAGCCTTTCATTGGAAGGGTTTCTGCGGAGGGTGCTGCTTGAGATCCGCCGAACAGCCCTTTGGAGAAATCTACACTCCCTCAGGCTAACAGCCGGAAGCTTTTGCAAGTGGCCCCTGTAGATTGAACCAAGTCTTCCGTTTTGGGGTCCTGGGTCCTGGGCGCTTTCATCTTGGGGGAGGCTTTTGTTCGACGCGTTGGGCTTTAGCAGGGGCCCGAGCTCAGCATAGCCAAGCAAATGCTCGGTCGAGCTGTAGCCAAAGAAACCTGTTCCTTGCGCTTGTCCCAGACGCCAGATGGGGTTTCTTCGCTTGGTCATATTTCTTTTGAGGGGATGTCCAGATTAAAGGCAAGCAACAAGAACCAGCGTGCCAAGTCTTTGTTCAAGGGAATCCAGGCGTTTCCATGGAAATCCACAGCGGTTCACTGGTTGAAACGGGAAGAAGGTATCTCTGACCTCCAGCAATCCACGCAGCCCGCGATTTCGATCAAGACTGCGCTGTGTTGCTGCTAAAGCAGAGGGTCAGCTGATCATTGGTGTTCCCTACCTACTGGAATAGTTCTTAGAGCCCTTCTGGGGACCCCTTTCCAAGAAGGTTCTATATAAGCGTTTGTGCCTTGAACACGGCGCACGAAAAATCGAGCGAAAACCCCGATCGGATCGAGGGGCGGAATCACCCCGGAGTCTGGAGCCAAGTTGCCGGTCGACAAGTTTGGCTTGGGGAGGACCCTGGCCCTCAGCCATGAATTATCTTTGGTGCATTTTGCTTGGAAGTTAGGACTTTAACTGTTTGGCCAACTAATGGGTTTTCCATACAACCACTAAAAGTTAAACTTTTAGCAGGGGAGCAAAACCCAACCGAGCTCTAATGGCAGATGTTTACTGCGGATGGACAAGATCCACTTGGCACCCGGTGGTTTTTTTTCGCCAGCCCCTGGACTTCATCAAATTGTTTACTTCAAGACGATTTTTCCCGTGGCAACAAGTTTGGACAAAACTTTTTGTCCATCCACAGGGGACCTTCAAAGTGGGACATCGATGTGCTCTCCAACCCACCCCCTATAGCAGGCAGCGACCTCTCGAGACTTTCTCCTGGCACTCCGCAGGTTTTCGAGCCCTCCTCGGTCGCCTCGGTCCGTCCTGAAAACTTCGTGGCCGCCGTCCGCGGCCACGGCCTCTGGGAGGGCCATGGCACCACTTCCCTTTGCTTAAGAATAGTATTTATTACTAGTTTCCCCTGTTGGTTTGAAAGGGAGAAAGAAAAATACTACGTGAAATCTATCGCTAGACTCTCCTTCTGCCCCTTTAAAAGTGGTTGGTCATGACCCGAGGCATTCTTTTGAGTAGTGACCAACCACTTTTCGAGGGTCATAGAGACTCCAGGTAGGTGAAATATCTTCATTTTTGTCCAGGGTCGAAAAACCAAATGGAAGGGAAGGCCGGTCTCCTCTCCGCCGCGCGGACGCGGAGATGTGGACGCCGGCAAGTCCCAAATCAGAGAGCCGGGCCTTTTATGCGCCGAACCACTGGCCCCTCAAGCGCTCTTCGATGCTTTCTGCCTGCGCAAAGAACCCATGGAAAGCAAGGCGACATGCAACCTGATTTAGGAGCCAGAAGTGGCTTAGGTCTTCTTTGGCATCCCTTAACCTAACTCCCCGAGTCTCTGAAGCTTTAGTCACTCTTTTCACAGCGATTTCAGTGCCAAACACAAAGTTTGGCATGTGTTGGCTCATTATTTGCTTGGTATGCGTTGCTATGTTTTGGTATGTGTTGGTGTGTGTGTTGGTGTCGTTTGGTATGGTTCGGTATGTTTCGGTATGTTTTGGTAGGATTTTGGTATGATCTTGGTGTATGCTGTGGTTAGGTTCGGAAGTGAGGGCCAAGACTCGAGTTTATGACCCACGGACTTGAACCTGTGGTTCTTCGGGCTCGGAAGCCAGCCCTCGCAAACCAAAAGAAACGGAAAAATGGACAGGGGAAAGCGAGCGAAGAGTCAAGGTTCTTAGCTGGTGATTGGTTTTGCGACCCGTTTGAATCACCCAGAGGCTCCAATTCGATGTATTTAGGGCCCTCAAGCAGCCAGGTTTTGAGACCCCCAAACACCCGGCGTGTCTAATGGAGGGGTCGGGTCTTCCATTCAAAGCCCCAGGAGCCTCTGGGCATCGAAATTGGCCCTGCTCTCCGCTGCGACGAGTCTCGATTGGTCTGCTCGAGGCAGATGAAGGCTATGCTTGCTGCGGCCGAGGTGCAGTCGATTCGCGCAAGTTCTCACTTCCCAAAATTTGCTCTCAGCAGGACCAACGCCCAGGGCTACCTAGACTCCATGACCCTTTAAACATGGGGTCATGACCCCTTTCTTTTGGGTAATGCCCCCATTTTTTAAGGGTCATGGAGAGTCTAGGTCGACACTTGGTTCGGTGTTTGGTTTCATTTTCTGATTCCCAAAGTTCTTTTGGGAAGGTCGTTTCAGTGGAAACCAACCAGTTTTGGGCTTGTCTCATCCACACAGTACCCCATTCTTTTCCGAGCCGTCCGTGCGCATGGGATTGGGGTTGCGCATTTCGGCGTTTTGTTTTGTTGGTTGCTGCTTGTTTGAAGAGCATGTGTGCGAAACTCCTTTCCGAGGGGTGGTTCGAAGTGGGACAAAGGGACCCCTCCCATTTCAGGGGGTTGAGTTGGGTAAATGTGGGAGGACCCTTGGAAACGGAAAACCACCAAAAAGATATGAGACATGTCCCCACAGAATGGGAAAAGTTCCCCGTGGTCATCTGGGGGCCAGATTGATCAATCCCTGGGTTCACCTTTGAGACAAGACCCACGGAAGGCGTATCGGCAGCGGATTAGGATTCGGCACTTGCCTGTAGGACGCGCCCCTCAGGGACCTGGGGCCAGGTGTGTTCATCTGCTGCGACGTGGATGACATGACGATCGTGAGGGAGACAAACATCGTGGAGGCGATGGGAGGCGACGGACCTGGAGTGGGTCAACGCAGACAAGCCGGTGAAGTTCTGCGGGGTGGAAGTGATGAGAGACCCCAGCGGAGGAGGAAGTCTGTTGGTGGGCCAGGAGGACTACATCAAGGATGTTCTCAACAGGTACGAGGGGGGGAGGTGAAGGAGAAGGCCATCCCGGTGCCTAAGGAGATTGAGAAGGATGGGGATGTTAGCATCACTTTAGTGCATCTTGCTTGGATGTTAGGACTTGAACTTTTTGCCAACTAATGGATTTTCCATTGATCCAATAAAAGTTGGGGAGCAGAAAGCAACCGAGATCATGTGTTAAAGAGGTCAAGTGTATCAACAGTCCCAGAACTAGCAATCACTCAACAAATAGCAATCGCGTCCTTCTGGCTTCCTGCACAAAGAGAAAACGTCTCATTGCAGGGCCGCTTCGTTGAAGAGGGAGTCGTTCTAACTGCCATGTCTCCAGTTCGTTTTCCAAATGCACCTCCTCAAGCGTCACTTACCAGCCAATCATGCCTGCTGCGCCTCACTGGGGAAATTATTTTTGCAAAACCCTGCAGCCATTGCTTAAACCTAACTTGCTCAAAGCGAATCGACCTTTTCACCTTTTGGTTTCCCTGATTTGGTCCACGTTCAGTCAAGGTTCTAATTGGTGATCGCCTTTTGTTTCAGCAACCCTAAGAGTCATGACCCCTCCAACGCACACCCCCAGACCCTTCAATTGAGAACCCCAACCAATTCCTCAGGGGCCCTTGCAAGCAACCAGTTTTGAGGGCCCAAAAACAATCGATACCCTTAGCGAATTGAATGAAAAAGTATTCCCGACACCTCAGGGGTGTTGGGAAGCTAATACCTTTTTTTATTTCTGGTTTTTTGGGCAGCTGAGAGACCCTTTGGCGGGGATTCCATTGCCCCGGCCATTTCGTCAGGCGCAGAAGAGGCGAGATGGGACATGGGGCAGGAAGCAACTTCTCCCAGCGGATTCCACCTATTCGGGTGAATTATAACGACCTCACACGACCTCACCCCAAATGGTGGTTGATGTGGGGAGTATTCCCCCACTCTGAGGGTCATGACCCCTCCCATGCACACCCCCGGACCCTCCAATGGAGAACCCCGACCAATTCCTCAGGGGCTCTTGAAAACAACCAGTTAGGGCCCAAAAACAATCCATCGACCCTTAGGGCCATCACCTCAATTCAGGTTGGTGAAATATTATAATTCACCCAGACCTATAAAGCCCTTTTTCAAGGGTTCCCCGCTCAAAATATTCCATTTGCGTTTCGGCATATGTCTCGTTTTGTCCTGGCTTCAAAGGGGAATCTATCAGCGCTGGACCATGTTCTAATTTCTTCGACTGATTCGCAAATGGAGGACCTGGAATCCATCCCCAAAAGGGTTCCAAGTCTTAAGGTGCAAACAAGAGAGTTCTAGGGCTACCTTCCATGTCCATTCTTTCCAGGGATCCGAATTTATTTTCAGGAAACCATCAACAACCCAGGGAAACAGCGATCGGTGTTTGAAAAGAAGGATGGTTGAAAAGAATGGACAAGGAATCAACCCCTAGAAGAGCGCCCATGAGCCGATCGTCCGGATGCTCCAGATCCAAAGGCCCTGAAGCCCCAGGTGAAGCTGAAACTGACACCTACCCCCTACACATACCCGGCTTTTTTAAAGGCTATGATGTCGAGCCTCTACTAAAAAAACAAGGTGTTTACCATGGAAACCCAGGTTTTTCACAAAATACCCTACAAAAAGTTGGTATTTGGATTAGGGGGTATGATTGGCACTTGGAGTTTTGGCCACACTCGCGAGAAGTGCGCCTAGAGTCTCCGAGTCTGACCCCTACAATGTTGGGGCACATCCAACGCGCATTCTCGCACAAGTGCTGAATTTGTGCGTCTCTCCAAATCAAACTCATGGAATGCAAAATGCTTTCCAGATTGACAAATCGCCCAAAGCCCCGCCAAATGTTTGGCGTGGCCGTGACGCCGGGCTTCTCTTCTTTTAGTCCGTCCAACCCTCAAGGCTCGGAATGCGCAGGTCTTCGGTTCAACTTGGGTGTGTTTTTGTTTAACCGCAAAAAAAAACATTCTTTTTGGTTTGGCTTTCCTGCAAGAGCCTCAACAAGAAGACACACCCTTTTCAAACAGGACCTTACTCGCTCAGCCTTCAAGTTTCGGAAGCCCATGGCGCAAAACAAACATTTCCAGACCCTATCAGAACTACGTTGGATTTCAAAATTACAAGATGTCGGCTTTTGGCAAGGCCTAGTTTCCAAAACTTCTGCCGGCAAATCCGAAGATATGCCAACCACAACATGCAAACACCATTGAAGCCAAACAAATCGAACCCGTGGCAAAATCAACCTGGGATCGAAATGGCATGGCAAAGGGGTACCTACTATGCGGGAAACTGGTATCGAAATGGAAGAACACGCACTACAACTTCCGAAGGGAGCTGCAAGTTCCGATGGGTGATGTTCCTGGCTCGCAAATTCGTGAGTAAGCCGAAAATTGATGCCCCACTCATCCAACGCTGAGTCCTCGCACAAGTGCTGAATTTCTGCATCTCTCCAAATCAAACGCATGGAATGAAAAACGCTTTCCAGAATGACAAATCGCTCCAAAGTTTGGGTGTGTTGCATAGTTTCCCTTGCAGGTCCTTTAGGTTTTTAAAGGGTGGTTTCTCTTGGTTCCCTACTATACAGGTAAACGGATCCACTGGATCGCGTAAGAAAATGCTGTTTCTTCCCAGGGGACTTAAGCAAAGTGCCCCCAAAAATTGGCACACCCAAAGTGACACGATGGTCATTTGGGAGGTTGATCAAGCAGGACAAGTTACCCATGGTCATCTTGGGGCCAGGAATATTGATCAAACCCTGAGGGAAAAAAGTGTCTTTGGAATACGTAGGAATTGTGCTCTGTTTCCCTGTTAGCCCTTCCACGGGAAGCTGTGACTGGTAAAAAAAACAGGTTGCAAAGTTGGGTGGCTCCAAAAACAGCGAAAGCAAAGCACTGGTATTTCAGCGTGTTTTCCCCGTGCATTTGCCGCTGGTGTTCCAAGCCCGGCAGAGTTTTTCGCAGAAAGGTCGAGACATGAGGCTCAGATCCAGGCCTCAACGTGTGACTGGTTTCTCCGTGCAGAAACTCCGCCACGGCTGAAACCTGCAGCCAAACCACAAACCCTTGGTTACCTGTCGCACCAACATCCAGAGAGCCAGTTTGGCGGAAAGGACGAATGGCGAGACACCGAAGATGATTTGTTTAACCCAACGGGTTCGACATACACTCCCTGCGCTTCTCCCAAAAGACATAGACGACTCATCGGCCACACGTCACGCCTCAAACCTGCAGCCAAACCACGAGCCCTTGGTTCCACCCGTGGCACCAACACCTGAGCCGGTTTGGCGGAATGGACGAATTGCGAGACATCGAAGATGATTTATTTGACCCAACGGATTCGACATATGCTCCGTGTGCTTCTTCCAAAAAGAGGAAGCAAATAACTCATCGGCCACATGTCTTAGCCTTGCGGAACCCTACCAGGAAGTTCCAGAGGACGTCAACTTGTTGGTGTGGTTGGCCCATTTCCTCACTTTTGGGAAGACCATTTTAGTAATACCTAGACTCTCCACTCTCCATGACCCTTCAAAATGGAGTCATTACCCAGAAGAAAGGGGTCATCCCCCCTTTTTCAAAGGGTCAGAAGGAGACTCGACTAGGACTTTTAACTGTTTGGGAAGACCATTTCAGTGGTAGAACAAAAGTTTGGTTCCTTGTTCTGGCCAATCTATTCGGGAAGTGCGTTTCTCTGAACATCCCACCACCTCCCCGGGCTCCGTTTTCGCGAGGCGCAAGGGCGAGGAGGAAGCTTTGGGTGCTGGACCGGGTGGTCTTGGAGGCGAGGAATCGGTGAAACCGGAGGTTGGGTCAAAATTAAACCACTAGGGACCACAGTTCTTAACCCTCGTTTCCATTCACCAGGGTTCCATGTTAGGTACCTAAGTTTTGACCCACAGCCATGTGCTGCTATGGCTATATGGTTTGTTTGTTATGTATGTATTTGTTGTTTTTGTCTTTCCGTTTTTGTTTGGCAGGGGTAGAGGGTGGGGGGGCGCATGTCCTTTTTTCCTTTTGTTTTTGCTTTTTTCGGTGTTCAAGCCACTTAGGAGGTGTTTTAGAAGCATGGTCACAGAGGGACTAACCCCAGTTGCCCCGGTTGTATCCAAGGTTCAGAACCTACGTGCTTGCTAACTTGGATTGAGGCGTTCATTCTAAAAGGGAGTAACCCAGCACATCAAGGGGACCAACCCTCCATCCACAGTATCTACCTGTTACATATGCTTAAACTCCTCTCATGTTGTTGTTCGTTTGTTGCCTTTGTGGATACCTTACAGGGGAACCTACCTGGGGGTATGTGGTTGCCCCCCCCAAAAAAAATCAGGTATGCCCAACAGCAAGCCTCACGCCTGAAACAGGGTTATGGGTTTGGACCATTCTAGTACAGCATTCCCAAAAGTCTACGGCTACTTTTTGATTGGCCAATCCACTCGATCGGTGAGACAAGAACCCACAAACAGAAGCACGGGCAAAATAGAACACAACAATACACAACAACTGGTTCTTGTGTGTGTGGGTTTTCCTGTAGCCCATGAAGCACAAAAACAACTGGTGTTTACCTTCAACCCATCGCTTGGTTCACTTTGGCAATCCCATAATCGCTTCCCCCTCAAACATGTCTATTCATAGAGGTGGACTTGTTAATACTGTGGATGGGCGAATTGCATTTCGCATCACCTAAGAAACCCTGGAATGATTCCCAACGTAAATACCCAACAAACGGTTTTTTCAACTTCATGGTTTCATTTCGTGTTTTTGTTGTTCTCCGCAACCATCCACTGGGCAGGGGGAAGGAATTCGTTGGGCCAGGATAGGCATTGCTTGGACCAGCTTTCGTGAATTGAATCTAAGATCTAGACGTTCGTGTTCCAGAAACGGCGGATCCCTAATGCAATACCTAACTAAGGACTTCCAGTTGCTATCATAAGCAACCGGGAGTTTTGTCACTACATGTTCTATGGTTTCCCGTTTATTATTAGGGGGTCCCCCTATTCATCAACTGGCCGTGGTTTATGAAAATCTGGGGTCAACACAGAAACTTCTGTTTTCTGACTGAGATCCCTTTTTCGTCTATAATAGAAACATCTTTTTGGAGGAGCCCTCAGCATCGTCGCCTTTGAGGCCTCTCGTTTACTCCGATGCCTCTAGGGGTTGGTTCCTTGTCCCTTCTTTTCAACCATCGTTCTTTCAAAAGCCGGCTGCTTCCCCTTACGTTTTGGATGGTTTCCTGAAAATAAATTCGGATCCCTGGAAAGAATGGACATGGAAGGTAGCCCTAGAACTCTCTTGTTTGCACCTCAAGACTTGGAACCCTTTTGATGATGGATTCCGGGTCCTCCATTTGCGAATGAGTGGAAGAAAAATGGACACATTGTCCAGTGGTGATAGATCCCCCGCCTAGAATGCCCATGGGTTCCGCTCCTGAGGCAAATCTTTCGAGGCCGCGGGCCAGGCTCGAGGGAGGGAGTTGGACGCTGGCTGTCCGGAGGGGCGGACAGGGGGTGCGAGAGAGAAACACGTCTGCCTGGAGCTTCCGACTCGGCTGAAATGCGTAGAGCGTCTTCGTCCAAAACGCCGTAGCTTTTTTAACCTTTGGGTTTTCTTTCGTGTTCATTTTGCCCAGATCCGAAGAGGTTAACACCTAGAGTCTCGGGATGGTTTACCAACCATGTTTTAAAGGGTCAGATTTGGGTAACCCCATTTTTGAAGGGTCAGAAGGAGACTCCAGGCAATTTGTGAAACCATGGGCATCCATTTTAGACCTTTGGGGGCTGATTTCCCATAATTAAGCCATAACCAAGGGTGGATTAACTCGTAGACAAGGGTTCATATATGGGTGTACACATTCAGAAATTGGACACACACACACACATGTCGGCTTCCTCTTTCTAACGCCCAGGCAAACATGAATATGAATAGGCATCAATGGCCGCCGGTGGTGCTTTGTTGCGCCAACTAGGTCTGCCAGTAGTGCCCTTTTACCCTTTTTTCTGGGAGGTTTCCCTACTAAAATAGACTGCATAAAAAAACATCGGTACCCTGATTCTAACCTCTACTGGAGGACCTTACGCCACTCAACTGCAAAGAGGCTGCCCCTCTTTCCAAAATCCACAGGCCTGAGGTCCCGTCCACAAAGCTTTCGGTGGTTGACGGGTCCAGTATTTATCTCACTGTAAACGGTTGGGTTTGAACACTTCTTGCTTGGCAATGGTTCCCTTGCCCACGAACTTTTGGCAACGCGTTTAGAACGATCTAATGGGTTGGATCGTTTGACTTTACCTTTGTTGGGAGATCACATGTTCTTCGTTGAACCCGGAAACCTTTTCTTGTTGCAGAGGAGTCAACGGCGGCCAAGCCAAAAAAAGAAATATCGACACCCACACGGCGGCCACGGGCAGTTTTGCATCCCAGGACTTTGATCCCAGGTGTGATGAGTGTCCGACCCAGAAAGGAGGTTCGGGGTTGTGGAACACACGTTGGTTGCCAATGGTTCGTGGAGATTGCGTGCCAAGTCTAGGCAGCCCTTGTTGCGGGGGTGAGAGCCTGAAAAGCAGAGGGTGTTGGTTGCCAAGTGAGTGACTTAGTGGTTCAAGTGATTGCATGTTTGCTTTAAAGGGTTCGCTTCCAGAAAGCCAACAGAGAGCCTGGAGTCTCGATTTGAATCCCTTTGGACATCCAAAAGGTCATGTGAAAGGGCAAGTGCATTGGGACATAGCGCCAAGGCGACTCAAAAAATGGGGGAACACCCTTAACCCCTCTATGAGTCCCCCGTTAGCCATGGTAGTGGGATTATATGACACGCAATGCAAGTCCTATTTTGTTCTTTTTACATGCTTCTGTGGTTGGTAGGAACTGCTAGTTTGGTTGGTGTTTGTTGAGGGAAGCCTGTTTCATACTGTGCATGGACGAAATCCATTTCGCACCACCTTTCAGAAACCCTGGTTTCTGATTCGATTCCCCAACGTAGATTCCCAACAAACGTTATGGTTTCCCTTGCGCCCAACTCCAAGTACCCTCTTTTTTAGGCTATGATGTCGACCCTCTACTCAAAAAGAACTTACTTACCATGGAAACCCAGGTTTTTCACAACATACGCCCAGAAAAAGGTGGGCATTTGGAGTAGGGGGTGGTTTTTTTTTAAGGTGCGAACGGATCTGGTCCATCCACGTTCTCCCGGCTTGGACTTCCGGAGGCCTTGGGCCCGGCGCCGGAGGACGTGGACCAGGCGAGGTCCTCGCCTTGAGTCGCCTGACTTGGGTTTGGACCATTTAGCTTCCCCAGAATCAGTTCCTGTTCGTTTTTTTCTTATTTTTTCTCTTTTTTTTTTTTTGCTTTCTTGGGGTTCCCTTTGTTTTCCGCTAAGCAGGCAAAATATATGTTTTTTTGCTGGGGTCCTAATTCCAGCCAAGTTAGTGGTAGTAACCAAAAATAGGCTTGACCATTTGGTGGACCATAACAGGGAAGTCTCAAAAAGGGGAGTTTCTCCATACCCATATGTTGGATGGTTTTTGGGGGTCATTCCATTCAACACCAGCCCTAAAACTTTGGTGCAGTTTGCCAGGGGATGTTAGGACTTGAACTTTTTGCCAACTAAGAGGGGTTGTCCGTATTAAACCACTAAAAGTTGGTCACTTTTAGCAGGGGAGAAAGAACAAAGCAACCAAGTAGCGGTAGTAAACAAAGGTTTCGCGAGACCCGAAGAAACTGGCAATACAAAAGGGGTTTACCAACCATAATTTAATATTTCCCCTTGAAACATCACCACAGGAAACTCACTTTAAAGGGGCCGAAAGGTGATGTTTACCGCCACAAGGGGAAATAGAGGCCCAGTACAACCCCAGCTCAAAGAAAGCCAGAAGGGACCATTTTTGTGGATCTGTGGACAGAGAGCTCTTTTTGCCGGGGTTCAATCGGTCAGGTTGCATTGTTCTAGTGGGAAACAAGTTGTTTGACTGTTTTCGTCAACCCAAAAGGTGGTAGAAAAGAGACACCTCCCCAATTGGGGTCTCCTCGGCCTTGGACTATCCTTTGTGTTTTGGTTGGGGAGGGGGGGGGGGAAGGGCCTAAACTCTGACAATCGGGCTGTCTGGGTCTCCAAAATTGTGTTACATTTTGGGTAGACTAAATATGGAACAGTAGATTTGGTGGTTTAATTAGGTCTCTAGGAAAGCAATTATCAAGCTGTATATCCATGTGGGTAGAACACCCCCCCCCCCGAAGGGTGATGCCTGGAACTCCATTTATACCTAGACTCTTCTTCTGACCCTTAAAAAATGGTTGGTCATTGCCCAAAGGAAAGATTCTGGTCATGACCAACCATTTTTACAGGGTCAGAAGGAGAGTCTAGATAGTTCCATTTTCCACAGGAAAAGCACGGAGCTTGCCGCAACAGCAACTGTGGGTCTCCATGACCCTTTCAGAAGGGGTCTTGAGACATCTTATTGTTTGGTAGATGAACCATTTTTGTTGATGGTCGTGGTACTTTTGCGAACCGGGTTTTTCTTTTTCACTACCACAAGATGGACTTTAACTCAAGGGTTCCTTTTGAGGGCAATGAGCCATCCCTGATTTTAAGTCTATGCTGGGGTAGTCAAAAAGCTTGCTGGTGCTCAGGAGGGAATGAGAAATGGAATGACCTGAGAACCAACCGTTGGTTTCCCTTGAAGGGGACCAACGCCTGGGGTCATCTACCAAACAGTAAGATGTTTTAATATATATATATATATATATATTTTTATCCTCCACCGACTCTCGCGTCCTCTGACTCGCAGCCTAAGCGGCGA